AACTTGGTAACTGTCACTATTTTACTACTTTAGATCTTGCTAGTGGCTTTTATCAGGTGGAGATGAACCCAGACGATATACACAAGACGGCATTCAATGTAGAACATGGGCATTTCGAATTTTTAAGAATGCCCATGGGACTTAAGAATTCTCCATCCACGTTCCAACGTGTGATGGATAATGTGCTCAGAGATCTCCAAAACGTAATCTGTCTCGTCTACCTTGACGATATAATCGTGTTTAGCGTCTCTTTACAGGAGCACATGGTCAATTTAGAAAAAGTGTTCAATAGACTTAGGGAATCGAATTTCAAGATTCAGATGGATAAGTCAGAATTTCTAAAACTAGAGACCGCATACCTTGGCCATGTTATAAGTAAAGACGGAATTAAGCCTAATCCTGATAAAATCACCGCTATTCAGAAGTTCCCCATCCCTAAGACAGCTACCGAAATTAAACGTTTCCTTGGTTTGCTCGGATATTATAGAAAATTCATTCCAGACTTTGCACGAATCACAAAACCAATGACACAATGTTTAAAAAAAGGCTCCAAAATAACTTTAAATGACGCTAAATATATTGACTGTTTTGAAAGATGTAAAGTACTTTTAACAAATGACCCAATCCTTCAGTATCCCGACTTCACTAAAGATTTTGTACTGACGACAGACGCTTCGAACGTTGCAATAGGCGCTGTCCTTTCTCAAGGGCCAATAGGTAGTGACAAACCAATAGCTTACGCTTCGAGGACGCTAAATTCAAGCGAAACCAACTATAGCACTATCGAGAAGGAGCTGTTGGCTATCGTTTGGGCTACTAAATACTTTCGGCCATACCTATTTGGTAGAAAGTTTAAAATCATGACTGACCATAGACCACTACAGTGGGTTATGAGCCTTAAAGAACCTGGTTCTAGACTCACACGTTGGAGACTGAAGTTGAGCGAATATAATTTTACCACCGTCTACAAACAGGGCAAACAAAACACCAATGCTGATGCCCTATCTCGCATTGAAATAAATCACGAGGATATCAGCTCTATAGCCGTTAATCCATCTATAAACCTTCCATCTGACGCAGGTTCAACAACTTTGACGGCTGTCACTAACGATGCTGAAATACCACCTGACCAAGACAACTCGACCACAGCAACCGCTCATACTAGTGCCGAAAGTCCGATTTTAGAAGTACCTATATCTGACGACCCACTCAACAGATTTAGTCGACAAATTTGTTTCGTTTTAGTAGGTGACATAAAAAAACGACCGACAGTGACAAAACCCTTCGAAACCCATACCAGAACGACTGTACAACTCTCTGAATCTAACTTGACCAATGACGTTATTAACGCAATTAAAGAATATGTTAACCCCAAGGTTAAAACCGGCATTATCATTCATCCCCCGCTCGCCATGTATAAGATTATCCCGATTATACAAGAGAATTTTAAAAGTTCAACTATGAATCTTGTTTTAACAAAAAATGAATTAGAAAACGTTAAAGAATATTTACGACAGCAGGAAATTATTAAAAAATACCACGAGGGTAAAACAAACCACCGTGGTATCACTGAATGTTATCTCTCTTTATCCTCAAGATATTACTGGCCTAAAATGAAAGAAAGCATCGCGAAATATATAAGTGAATGTAATATTTGCGGCCAGGCCAAATACGACCGAAATCCGATTAAACAGAGATTTTCAGTTGTACCTCCACCTTCAAAGCCTTTCCAAATAGTTCATCTTGATCTTTTACAGCACAAAACGAAAAATACCTTACAATAGTAGATGCCTTTTCAAAGTATTCGCAAGCATATCACCTGAGAGATAGTACTGCTTTGAGTGTCGTACAAGCTTTCCTTGTATTCTGTACTCATCATGGCGTCCCTTTAACTATTGTCACCGATGGAGGCCCCGAATTTACAAATCAGATCTTCTCAGAATTTGCTCGAATTCACAAAATACAACATCACAAAATATTAGCTCATTCACCAAATGATAATGGTATAGTAGAGAGATTTCATTCCACTATCCTCGAACATCTTAGAATACTAAAGCTCGAGAAGCGGAATGAACCAGCAGTTAATCTAATGCCCTATGCAATTTTAGCCTATAATAGCTCGATTCATAGTTTTACTAAATGTAGACCTTTGGATTTGATAACTGGACACTTTGACCCACGTGACCCAATAGATATCGACCTATCAGAGCACTTACTCCAACAATATTCACAAGACCACAAGAAACGAATGAACCAAGTTTATGACATCATCAACGAAACTTCCTTACATGACAGGACACAATTGACTGAAAACCGAAACAAAGACAGAGAACCGGAAAAGGACTATACCCCTGACCAACAAGTTTTCATACGTAATCCCATGGCAGCCCGACAAAAATTAGCGCCACGCTATACGCAAGACACAGTGCTTGCGGATCTTCCCATTCATATCTATACAAAGAAGAAACGCGGTCCCGTTGCAAAATCACGCCTTAAGCGAAGCTCTAAACATCCCACATTGTTACAGGATACTACTATGGTTGACACTACAGCACACGACGCGAGGACAAGAAGTAACACTTGACTCACTTGACAATGGACCAGGCTTACTTCCTTTCAAATTAGGACCGACAAAGATTGTCTCGCATTACCATTCCTTTCTTAACTATATTGATTTAGAAAACATCCATCTTCAGATTGAATTAGTAAAATCCCAGATGTCTCAGCTAACACCATTACTAAACAATAAAACGTTTTCTCTATTTGATCCTCATTTGAAACATCTTAATAATAAAATTACTACAATTTCGAATAAACTTAGTATGTTTGAGTCAGCGCGTCATAAAAGAGGTCTCATCGACGGTTTAGGTTCGGTCATCAAAAGCATTTCTGGTAACCTAGATTACACTGACGCAATAAAGTATGAACACGCGATAAATATCTTGCGCAACAATGAACATAAGTTAGAAACGGAAATTAACAGTCGTGTTAGTTTAAATAAAGATTACATTGCACAAAGTTCTAAAATTATAAACGATATAGTTAGTAATCAAGTTAAAATCAATAATACGTTGAATTTAATATTGCAAAGTGACACAAATTGGGAAACAGACTTGACTAAATATGCCCACATGGCACAACATCTCTTAATCTTAGGAGACAATATTGAAGACTTGTACGAAGAAATGCAGAGGTTAGAAAATACTTTATCTTTTATTCGTGCATCGAGCACTTCATATTCTATTTTTAGTTTAAATAACGTTAAAGATATGTTAGGTAAACTTAGGATTTTATACTCTAGTAATGAAGTCCTTGACGTAGAATTTAGACAGTTTTATGAAATAGTTAAATTAGGTTATTTTTACGTATCTAAGCAAGTAGTCATAGTTATAAAGGTCCCAATTATCGTTCCTTTATCATATGAACTTTATAAATTATCCCTTGTTCCTAACAAAAATCATGAAATCCTGATACCTACCCTACCTTATATAGCACTCTCTAGCCAAGACTCTCGGTACATAGAGACAGAATGTCCGAAGTTAAACTCACTATTTCTCTGCGAGGCCAAATTTAACTTCAAAATCCAGGAGAAGCCCGATTGCATACAACAATTCATTACTCACCAAGAAGTCCAGCCGACATGCAAACTGACTCCAGTAACTCTAACAACCGAAGCCCTGGAAGCTTTAGATGACAAGCACTACACAATGAGCTTTCCAGCACCAACTAAAGTGAAAATATCATGCGGCCAAGAACAATACCGGACCCTACAAGGGAGCTTCCTTGCAATTATTCCATTGAACTGCAACCTGAAGACGCCCGCATTCACTATCTCCAACAATAACGATCAAATAAAAGGACATGTCATAAGGATAACGGAAATGCCTCTGTATAACGAGCCGAGGCCCAAAGAACATCCAAAGCTTATCCTCAATTCACTTAATCTGCAAAAACTCCACTCCTTGGATACAGAAGTAGCAGCTGAACCATCCATCCATCTCGATGACGTAACTGATCCAGCTATATATCACACAACTATCCCCATCTACTTAATACTACTCTGTGCAGGCGCATTCATCGCTGCGCTGTACTGCTACACCAGAGGATCGACAAAAGGCAATGAAACTGCAGGAGCCCCTACCAGTGATCCTGAAATATTGATCGCAACCCCAATACCTCGGGGCATTAACCCTAACCAAGTGAAGATGGACCACAGATGCATCTCAGCGACCATCTCGGACGAGTCCTGCAATAGTCGCTGTTCTTCGGGGGGAGGTGTTACGCAAAGCCACCTCGCCTAAATCGCAGCGTTGCATCGGCCCGACAAACATTCCACACGGCACCAATGGAGGCACGAGGCGCATGGTCAGCGGAATGTGTCGGTGACGTCAATCGCCCCGCACAATATCGGATTCCATTTTTATTAGTTTCATAATTAGATCTAACATCGATCATTTAGCACTTATTTGTAATTTTAATTAATTGTAATTTCTTTTAAATATAGTTTTTAAGTAAATTTGCATTTTTTTGCATCCCTCGGCTGCACCCTACGTAATTAGTATATTAATTTCCTTGAATTTATCTCTAAGAGATTCCCTACATTTTAAATTATAGATTGCACGAATAGCCCTCTTCTGCAGGATGAAAATAGTTTCGACATCAGCAGCATGACCCCATAATAATAAGCCATAAGTCATTAAGCTATGAAAGTAACTAAAATAAACAAGTCTAGCTGTATCGACATCAGTTAGTGAGCGAATTTTTTTAACCGCGTAGGCTGCAGAACTAAGTCTCTTCGCCAATCCGTTAATATGAGGGGACCACTGAAGTTTTGAATCCATGGTGATTCCGAGAAATTAGGTATTATCAAATAAAACAACAAAAATCCACAAATATTGCCAAAATTATATCAGTGAACACTTCACTATAATGTCACGATCGAATTATTAGCGTTTTATTAGAAATTTACGAGGAAACAGTAATAAAAAACAAATAAATACCTTAGTGAACACAGCCGGCTTCTTTCGGGCAGACATTTTGAAAAAAAGTGACAGCACTAGTGTTGCTAACACTCAAAAACATTTTTTTTTATAAAGTGTGACTAGTTTATGAGAATAAATGTTTATAATAATATTGAAATCATAATATTTCTTTAACACTTTTTTTGTTTTAAAGTTTGTATGGCACAGCATACAATACCAAATTAAGGGTTAAGACACTTTATTTTAATGTTCTCAATTGCTTCAATGTATTTCTTGTAGATTGGGGACCAAACAGTGCATGCATATTCTAGTGCACTCCTAACAAAAGCAAAATACAGGAATTTTATACATTTTATATTTTTAAAAGTTTGCATACTCGTTTGAATCCAAGTTGTTTATATGCTTTTTCTGTTATATTATCTATATGTTCTGAGAAAGACATCTTATCATCTAGTAGTATCCCCAAGTCTCCAACCAAATTCACCTGTTTAATTATTGTATCTCTTATTTTATAACAATTAAAAAGTATTGACCAGTGTATGTCCGTAAGAACCAATTGCAATAAATCTTTAAGCATCAAAAGCATGTTCCTCCATTGTAGTATCCTCGCCTAGGCGTCTGGCAGTAGAAAAGATTTTCAAAGCGATATCTCGGGTCGGTTTACTAAAAATTTACAATAACTAGGTAAATATTTGTTTTGATACAGTATCTGACAGCCACCGTCTAAATTTGTAATTATCACGGCTTTTCCTTAGCAATGATTTGTCTATTTACTTTAATTGTCTTTGATATTACTTTTACAACGTAACTCTATATTAACGGGAAAACGTAGTGCATCTGTGTGAAAACAATCGTAAGAAATTTATAATTTAGACACTTGGGTTGAAATCTCGAGAAGTACAGTAAATTAAAAACAACACTCTTTCTTTATTCATTTATAAATATTTTTAGTTCAATACATAGATTGATTTTTAAATGCTTGCTTACTTATTAATATCGGTTTAGTAAAATCTAAATTGATTGCGAATGACTGCTGGCGTCTCTAAGTAGTTATTGAAGCAAATGCACAGTTTGCCCTTTGATTGCGGGTAAGGTACGATTCAGGGGATGACTGGTTCGATAAATGGAATTTGAAAGCATTATACAGATCTATAGATAGAAATCGTACAAAAATTTAGTCTACCTAAAAGAGCCAGGGCTAGTTCCTCTTGTGCTGGTTCCTGAGCATGAGCCTTAGCCTGATCCTGAGCATGATCTTGGCTGTGAGCATGATCCTGGGCGCTTGCCTGATCCTGAGCCTGAGCATGATGATGTGCCTGAGCATGAATTTGAACCTGAGCCTGAATCTGAGCCTGAGCATGATGATGTGCCTGAGCATGATTCAGAGCCAGAGCCTGATCCTGAGCCTGAGCATGACCCTGTCTCTGAGCATGATCCTGGGCCTCTGCCTGAGTTTTCGCCTGAGCATGATCCTGTGCCTTTGCATGATCCTAAGCCTAAGCCTGATCCTCTGCCTGTGCATGATCCTGGGCCTAAGCATGACTGTGAGCCTGAGCGTGATCCTGCACCAGAGCCATATCTAGTTTCTAAAGTGTTTCCACTAGCTGAAGTGGAGCCAGAACTAGATGCAGATCCGTAGTTGTAACTATAACTGACAGATCTATTTCTAGGCGCTCGCCTAAAAATGCGTCTGAAAACGGGGTTTCCAGACGCATTCCCAGTGTAGGTTGTTTTCTGAGCTGTATTTATTGGTATAAGAACATTTGGTACAATGGGCTGAGATAAGGGTTGCAGTGGGCTTGCTATTGGAACACTTTGTGTTATAGGTAATTGAACTGGAACAGGTTGTGCTGGTTGAGTTAAGGGGACTATTGGGACGGGATTGTTAGGAATCGCATGAACGGGGTAGTTGAGATTTTTGACGCCAGGGTAGAACGGAGGAGTTCTATTTGTATTGCCGGGGTAGAAGTTGGATGGATACCCTTGGTATGCCAATGGTGTGTCAGCTGGTGCTGCTGCACCTGAAAAAAGAAAAACGTAACTGAATTCGCTAATACAATTTACAAAAAATTTTTAAAGGTTTCAAACTCCTGTTAACGTTTAAAATCCAAAAATTCATATTAACACGACGCCTATCAATGTTCTGGCAAGTAAGTATTTATTATTATTTTATTAAAAAACTTAAGTGGAAAGGCCGGCCCAAACAAGATAATAAGATAGGGAAAAGAAAGAGAGGTCGCCTTCTTGGCCTGACGAGCTTAATGAAGTTGGTGGGGACGATTGGGAGAAAAAGGTTAAAGATAGAGAGAGTTGGAGCCAGTTGGAGGAGGCCTATACTCTAAAAGAGGTCCTTGAAAAAATTATAATTATTTTAGTATAAAATTTTAGTGTATCTTTTGTAAATATGGAATCATGATTCAAAGAATAAATAATTATTATTATAATATTGGACAGACTACATCATCCATACCTAATGAAGTTTTAATTTGTGGTATTTCAGTTTTCATGTTGTATATTTTTCCATATTTGATAGAAATACTATACTATACTATTTTATTGTCTAGGAATACTAAATATAATAATACTTATATTAGTATATGTTTCATAATTTTTATTACTTTTTTAGAGTTTTATTCTATTTTTAGGGCCATTTATTCATGTGTTTTATTATTATTTAAAATTTCTGTACTGTTTCTCTAAACATATGCCAAGCTGTAAATCGCAGCTATCGTCTTATCGTGATGATGAAGCCAATAGCCATATCTGAGCGCATCTCCCTCATCGAGGGACTGCTAAACGGTAGTGTATATTTGTGTGAGGGTGCTTCTGTCCCTGGATTGGTTAAACCATTGTGTATTCTCTTACATACGGGTTTCGAAATTAGAGAGAGAGATATATATATATATTTGTGTAAAAATAAGATTAGAAATAGAAATACTGCTAATATTGCTAGTATGTTGTTTTAGGTGAATTAAGCAAGGCAAATAAGTGCAGTGTGTGACTTTTCAAAGTTGTTGTGTTAATAGGATAATCAAATTTACAACATAATAACAAGCGCTCTGGTGCAGTGGTCAATCAACAATACGCCAAATGGAAAAATACGCAAGTGAATCATAACATTAACATTTGCATTTGATAGTTTTTGGATTAATTTTAATAATCATATCCATAGATTCAGTGAAACAGTGTCGAGTTTTTGTTCAACGTGGTGACGCGTTGTGCGTTTGCACTCCGCTATTTGTCTGGAATATATACTATTATTTTGGCTAAGTACTCAACTATCCGATCGGCTCAGTGTAGCAGAACGCTGCCAAGACATCGTCATATAGTTTGTGACGTGGTTCCAATCCAGGCAACTCACTTGTTTTTTTGTTTTTTCTTTTTATTAAAAGTTGCTATGGCGCCTTCAAATTGTTGTGCTAGCTGTCATACTGAGCTACCAAAGAAGGATTTTTTATGCTGTCATATCTGCAAGTTAAAATACGACCTAGTATGTGCTAATGTCTCCCGCAAGCGCTTTGTTGAGATGGTCGCAAGACAAAAGGCGTCATTTAGATGTCCCGAATGCTCTAGGAAACCGACTAATGTTAGCAATGCAAAGACGTCATTGCTGACTTGTGAAAATTCCGATGGAAGCCCTCTTAGTATGAGCTCACAAGAAGCAAGTCCGGAGAGTGAACCTCCGTGCTCTGATAAAGTAACGCAGCGAATTAAGCCGTCACACGGACCCCCTTCACAACTACCAGAACCAGAACTAGAATCATATGTCACTGAAGATAAATTGCGAGATATCTTACAACAGGAATTATCTTCAGTCCTCACTGTGACAATTAAGCGATTGGTGACATCGGAACTTAATAATCTCACTGAAAAGGTTGCTGGATTCCAGGACACAATCTGCTTCCTGAGCCGACAATATGAGGATATAAAGTCTTCTCTTGAGGAGAAGGACATCGCAATAGTGAATTTAAAAAAAGATAATGACAGGTTAAAGTCTAATGTGGCTGACTTAACGAATCGGCTAACTTCTGTTGAACTACATGCCCGGGAGAATAATATACTGATTAATGGGATCCCTGAGAATAGGTCAGAAAATTTATTTGAAACTGTCCTTCGTATAGCCAAGACTGTGGACTGTCCCCTCACTCAAGTTGATATTCAGCACGTAACAAGGGTTGCTAAAATAACTAATAGCAGTGATAGGCCTCGGTCCGTGGTGGCTAAGTTATGTAGCCCGCGTACACGTGACTTTGTTCTGGCTGCTGTGAGCAAATTTAATAGGAAGAATCCACAAGATAAATTGAACTCTCATCATCTTGGTATTGGAGGAACTAAGAAACCTATTTTTGTATCTGAACATCTAACATCAGTTAACAATGCTCTTTACGCGGCCACACGCTTGAAAGCAAAAGAGAAGCAGTATAAATTTGTATGGGTTCGCAACGGACGAGTTTTTACAAGAAAGAACGAAAACTGCCAAGCCTTGCTTATTAAGAATAACGAAACCTTAAATCTTTTAACATAGTATAGCATAGTATATTAGATTGTAAGCTTTTTGTATCTTTAGCCTAGTAACACACTGATTTTTTACAATGCTTGAAATTTATTATCAAAACGTACAAGGGTTGAGAACTAAAACGGCAAGCTTTCTCAAATATTTGTCAACTTCTAATTATGGGATCATCGCTCTTACTGAAACTTGGCTGAAATCTGGTATTTCAAACATGGAATTATTTGACAATAGATACACTGTTTATCGTAGAGATCGTTCAAGTTCTACCAATACCAAATCGGATGGTGGAGGTGTCATATTGGGAGTCTCCAAAGAAATTTCTTCTTTCAGAGTTGAGGCATGGGAATCGGATGTGGAGGACTTATGGGTCACCTTACATATAAATATTAATAAAATAATAAAGAAACTTTCGATATGTGTAGTATACCTACCTCCTCCTGTAAAGATTGGGACTTTGACACATTTTTTAGACAGCGTTGACAGAGCTTTAAACTTAAGCGATGACGTCATTATTCTAGGTGATTTCAATCTAGGGTTCATT